TGGTCCTGTTGATTCACAGAATGCAGCGATAAATTGAGACCCGGTAGGAGGCTAAACCGTAATCTTTAAAGAAGTGGACGGTCGAAAAAAAAAATGAAAAAGCGGAGCGGCCGGACTCAGAAGATTAAAATGAACAGTAGGATAAGACTGTTAAAATAATTTGCGGCCTTTTGTAAGCCGAGCCGTAATTACTGAAACAAACGGGCGGTCCGAAGCATGAAAAATATGGAAAGATCACAGCCCGGAAATTTTAATCTAGGATGAGATTAATTTAATAAATTATGATGGGGAAGATAGTAGGGCTGTCTATGTGGTACAAAACCGTATGACATGTTGAAAGGTCATGTGTAGGAAATAGTCTGCCTGTGTTTCATCCCTTAGCTGTTAAAACAAATCACCTACAAAAAAAAAACTCGCCCATAGCCTTTATCGCGCTGCTAGTAAAGAATTTTCGCTCGGACCATTGTCCATCTGCCCATGAGAAAGAAATGCAATCTGGGGCCTCAAATAACCGGTGGAGGTGACGCATAAAAAAATATAGGAGCAAAAAAAGGGAAGAAGACTGAGTTTCGATCCAAAAAAATTCGCAAATTTCAATGCTGTTGAAATTCCAGCTTGCAAAATGGTGGTAGCGGAAGCAACGCTGAAATGAGCAGTATGCTTAAAACATCTCTACTGCCAGCATTTTCAAATGAGAAAATGGAAACAACTAGCGAAATAATTGGCGAAAGTGCGGTATGTTACAGTGCAGAATGACATGCTTTTATTACTAAACTGTTACTAAACTTGCTTAAGCACGAAAAAACGGTCTTTTGAAGCTAATTCAGTTAACTTTTTCGGCTAAATTCCCTGATTTTTTAGGCAAAATTCCGCACTTATGAGTTTTAAGCGGCTTAATTTACATGCCGGGCTATGTCTGAACTCAATTTTTTACGTTTTCCTTTTCCATATAATTATGGTATTACAGCAAAAATGTGGGAACAGGGGGAGGGGGAGGGGGAGGGTTCATTCATAGAGAGTCGAACTGTGAGTTATCGGTAATAACAATAACCATAATAATAGTAGTAATAGTAATAACAATGATAATAATAACAACAATAATAATACCGATGACCTAAGTATACAGGTAATCATCATTTACATATAAAACAGGAGTAGATTATTATGTAGTAAAGCTTCCGCAAGATTACAAACAGAAGCTAAATAAATATTTAACTATGTGAGAAGTTTGGAGGATGCTCGGGAGTGACCAAGTGGTAACATAAGTAGTAAGAGCACAGTGCCAATAATAAACACTCGTTGGCGAAGTTGACAACAGGGTTTCTTGCTCGAGGACTATTTACAAGCAATCTGATGACAGGTAAAAGTGGGAATCATCAATACAGCCTCCCCATTCATCACTTACTGAAACAAATGCATAAAGCAAATGAATCTGAAAACACTTTTTTTTCAGCTTGAAAAAAGTCGTCTGCGTATTCTACGTGAACGTACAGCAGCAGCAATTTTCACAGTGGCTGCTAAAATTTCCAAAAAAGATACATTTCCAACTGGCAATTCTGAGCTTGCTAATGAGCACAAGGTTAGCACTTGATTATACTTTTTCATTGCCTTTTAATTGAACATTCCAGTGCTAAAATTTGCTTGAAAATAAGCACTTGAGGATATTTCGGACAGTCAAAATAAGGCACTCTTTCTTCTTTTCTTCCTCTCTCCTTTTATCATTTTTCAACTCATTTTCAAAAATAAAAAGAATTGCTTTTTTACTTGGACTGGTTTTCTTTACGAATAATCACTTTCTAGCCTTGCTGAGATGGCTCATGTAATACAGGAAAGAAATATAAAACGAGAAAAAACTCACGGAACTATAAAATGAGAAAAAACCAACATAGAAAATTACAAAACGAAGAAAAACCCACAAAGAGGACCACAAAATGAAGGAAAAATAACTCAGAAAGCCGCAAAATGAGGGTAAGTAACAAAACCTCAGCGACTTGTCTGCAGTACCG